TCTAGTTAGTGGCACAATAATTACTATACCTTCATGCGGCTCCATTATCCTCGATGCCGGCGAAGGCACACTGGGCTCTATGATTCGTCATTTTGGTCCGTTGGGAAGTCCTGGACGTGACGGTCGGATGAGCCTTGAGGAATTTTTGCGGGGAATCAAGTGCATTTTCATTTCTCATCTCCATGCTGATCATCACTTTGGTGTCGTGCGAATACTAGACATGTGGAACCGGGTATGTCTATAATTATTTAAACCCAAGGTGAGGAGGTGGGTCGGGGACAAGTCATAACCTGACAAGCATTACATTACAGCTTCAACACGGTACTGATGCTGTGATATATGTTGCTGCGCCTGGAAGATTTATGAAATGGTTGGACGAATATAGCGATGTTCAAGATATTGGACTGTCAAGAATACGATTCATTGATAATAGAAACTTGCTGAGACGAAACACGCCAATAAAATCGATCGATTCAACGTAAGACTGACAAGTTGATGATGAAACTTATAGGCTATCTTGTGGACTTTTTTTTTTTAACAACTCGCTTATTTTAATAGAATACAAGCAATGTTGAACTCGCTGAAACTGCAACGTATGGAATCTGTTGAAGTCATTCATTGCGCTGCAGCATATGGTGTGAGCATAGAACATACTCAAGGATGGAAGATTGTGTATGTGATTCTCTAGACATCTTTGTCAATAATTATATAACTGTACTAACAATAGACCAATTTGTTACCCACAGCTACTCGGGTGATACTCGGCCATGCGAGGATTTGATTCTTGTGGGTAAAAATGCGACCTTGTTGATTCACGAAGCTACATTTGAGAATGACTTGATTGAAGATGCTCTCGAAAAACGGCATAGCACTACCGAGGAGGCAGTCAAAGTTGGTGAAAGGCAAGTTGACATGGAAATATTTTACATAATATACCAATTACAAGTGTGCTTATTTAAATTGGGGTTCTTCATCTAGCATGAATGCGCAGTCAGTTCTTTTGACTCATTTCAGTCAGAGATATCCAAAAGTTCCAATATTCACTGACGACCATGGGACAGTAGGAATAAGTTTTGATTTAATGGAAGTCACGATAGGCGATCTGTACAAACTTCCAAAATATGTCAGAGCTCTTAAAATTCTTTATGCGGATGAATGTGAAGAGGCAAAGGAAAATGATTAAAAGGTAAGATGGATTCAACAATAATATTAAATATAAATGGGTTGGATTTAATAAACACATTTTATTCGTTTATTAGGTGCCAAACGCAAGCCTATGGAGGCAAAGTTTGCTATTACAAAATATGAAACCAATATTCTGTAGAAGTTTTCTTTGATTGATAGCTATTATTTGGTTTAAGATTACCTAAGTTAATCGTAGACACTGAATAAACCCTTTTTTACCACCCACATATATAACAATGTCTATAAAAAAATTGTTCCAAATGTCATATATCTCGCAGCTACATTGTACAAATGCATCCTTCATCCCTCGCAAATATCACCAAGTTGGGGAGAGCTGACTGCTTTCTGATTATTTCTTCTTACGCCTTCCATCGAGAGGGGGGGGGGGACGGTTTCCGTGAAATCTTATATTCTGTTTTAATTGGGCGTCCCTCGCAATATCCACAAAGAGCTGATTGCTTTTTGATCGCCGATGTGGTACAGTGCGCATTTCCACTGATGGTGGATTTCTTTATCCACTTCTTGATTTTTCTCAAGAAATGAGATAAAATTTATTAACCCCAGTTGGTGTTGTTGTGGGGGCGGGGCGGGGCGGGGACGGTACAGTGCGCACTTCCACTGATGGTGGATTTTTTTATCCACTTCTTGATTTTTCTCAAGAAATGAGATAAAATTTATTAACCCCAGTTGGTGTTGTTGTGGGGGGGGGGGGGTCGCCTGCCATGAAATCTTGGATTTTATTGTCCCTCGTAATGTTATTATTAGGGCGAAGGCGTTGAGAAAAACGACCCAGCAAGCCTTGCGCTAGAATTTCCTCATCTACCATTGGGCATTTGGATTTCCGCGCCTAGCATTGCTGAGTCGATCAAAGAGTTTTCGGACTCGAGTCCGATTCCATCGTCGTAGCGGCGAGCAAGATTACACTGAGCGTATGTAACGCCCTGGTCAGCCAATTTTTGATATAGTTCAACCGCCTTTTGGCCATAGTGTTCCATGGCCTGTAACTTCTACCAAGAGTGTATAGCGCCTCGGTGTGGTCTTGTCCAACTTGTACATTTGGCCTTGTCCCGTTGACTGGAGAGTGGGACATTATGATTTTGTAATTCGTTTATTGGCCGGAGTAGTTGGTGTTATATGGCTGTTGCCAGTTTTCTTCAAGGCCGACTTCCAACTCGTCGTGGTAAATAGGTTTTTTCGACAGTGGAAAGTATAATATTTAATATGTGTGTGGATGCGAGAGTTATTAATGTGCAGTTGCTTTCAACAGAGGGATCCGAAACTCTGTGAACGTGTCTTTATTAGGGTAACCTGATTATCATGTGATTTCCCTAAATAGCACAAGCCATGTGATAAGGGATGCGTGGCGACGAATCGGATTACAGAGTCGAATAATCCATAATAATAATAATAATAACAATAACAATTAAATTTGAGTTTTCGAGGTCTGTAACAATTAATTCGTGTTTATTATTTATGATATTGCAAGTGACATAATCAACTCTAATACTAAAGTGGTTTCAAAATCGAGAAACGGGTCGAATCACTCTTGGATTTCCAGCAACTTTTGCAATTCTTTGATTTTCTTTTTCTTTGAATTTAGCACAACCGAGAACTACGTAATAGTAAGGTATAGGTAGGCAACCTTCACTTTAGTAACATACTTAAAAAAAAATAGAACGAGTCAAATTGTCAATACCTTGGCTATTAGCTTCTTCTCTAATTTTGCTGTTGCCCTGTTCAGCGCGTCTATCCTTTTAGTAGAGCACTCTACTTTCTCTTGTAGCGTTTTCATAGACTCTGCATTCAACCTCTATAGTGGCCATAATTTTAGTATTTAATTTTAGTTAGAAAAGCACATAATGTATTTCTATAATACCTCTGCAAAGTTGGTCTGTTCAATCACGTTATTAAGAAGCTCTCCCCACACAATCGATAACGATTGGGAGCGCACTGGATGCAATTGAAGTTTCCATATGTCTACAACCGCAACCTACAAAGTACCTCAAATAAATATAATGTTATTGGATAGCGAACATCTAATCTTTTATAAAAACTTACCAAATGCTCTTCATACTTGCTTGAATCTGCTCGCCCTTCGACTGTAAACAAAAGCTATAAAAAAGGCTTAGACTTTTACGTCTGATAAAGGAACAAGTAAATACGTATCTAAATGTATACCTCGTGCTGGCTATTAACACTTAGTCGACATGGCCTATTGTCCACTTCCCGCTGTCCGCTTAATAGTCCTTGGATCACTCTAAGTCGCTTATTGTTAAAGTCGTTTGATGCGTTAAACGTAGTATTTCCCATTATTTGACTAGCTATTACTAAGAAAAAGTAAATTACAAAAATCACAAAAATTATTCTCTATGGAAATTGAACGTTGTTTTTTGGTCGACTCGTACGTACCCTTGGCTTCCCAATAGTTAATACAGTCTGTTAACTTGACTTCGCATATCACATCATCTGGGAAAAGATTTTCTGGGTCGGTAAAAATGTTGGGCTTGTACCATGTTGTCTGGCAGTAGAACTCTAGAGACCCGATAATAACTTCAGGTTCGACACGAAAAAGTCTTGTCGAGCAAACTTTGTCTGTCATTGATGCAAACTGATTATTGACTCGTATTGAAGACTTTTTATAGATTTTGTTATGTAAAATATTCTATTGGACACCATTGTTATTAGTTGCTATTAATGGTAAGGGATGACGCGTCTAATCCTGCTAGCTGCGCCTATATTTTTAGTACTAAGTGTCTAGTTAACATCAGTATATTGCGCGCATTTTTATTAACGAGATTAAATATATCAAGACGTCAATCATGCATTCCACACCTGATGAAGTATTATTACGTGGTATAATAATGCATTGCATTAATAATCTTGAACTATGGAAGCTGAAAGACTCGTGACTATGTGATAATGTACCAGTTTATTATTAGCCATGTAATTTATACCGATAATTTTATATTTACAAGAAAGTCAGCTAGTCAAGTATAACTGCTAACGTCGATGTTTGTTAGCCGAACAACTAACGAGAATTTCGGTAAACGCAATTTACCTTGGATATTAATGTATAGGCCACGTGTAATGTTGGACAAAGGTTGTAGAAATCTGGATTGATACAAAAATCAAGTCAGTTATTATCTACCAATGGCCTCGCATCCAAGTATTTTGTTGCTCGTTTTTTTTGACCATGTTCGTTTTCTATCTTAAGACAGCAGGCATAAGACAGTATACACACGTTGTATAATCGTGATCACGTTTGTTTCAACTCTGTTGTTGCTTTAGCGCCAAAGTCACTTTTACACGATCAATTATTATTACGAGACAGCAAACACGTCTCATAGTCTAAAGCGACTTCTCAAGCCTGTCTAATTGATGACATTAGTCAATGTGAATGAATCTGATTTATAGACCGTAGTTGACATTCAACCGCTTTGACAAGTGTTTATTTTCAGCTGCACGGTCACAAATTATAAATTATGTAAGAAAGCAAAGAACGTGTGATGTCATAGTTTACAGCAAATTCACTAACTAATGCCCATGCAAAGGTTTAATTCTTCACATTGAGAATTTATCAATATTTATTGTCATTAGAGAAATACACACGTCAATAGTAGGAACTGTTTACAACTTTTGGAATGCAGCTACATCAACACTCTGCACGTGGTCTTCAAACGCAGTAATTTTCTCATCCAGATCATCTACAAAATAGACAAGAATATGTATCAATATATATACATCCGCTCAAACGTGGCAAGTAATAAACGGAGAGTGATAACATAATATACGTCGAATCAATATACTATGTAACACATCTACGATATCACACTCTTGGCCGTTATCTCCCTCTTCCCAACCCCACCCAATCTTGCTTACCAACGCCAACTTTATCGTCTTCTATAACACAGTTGATCTGCAACTTATTTATACCATATCCCACAGGCATTAGTTTCGATGTTCCCCAAACCAAACCATCCATTTCGACGCCTTTGACTAATGCCTCCAACTCTTTCATATCCGTTGTATCATCCCACGGCTTAACATCCAATGTAACCACACTCTTGGCAATAACTTTGGGTTTTGCGGCCTTTTTTGCTTGATACTCGGCCAATCTCTGTGCTTTCAATTTTTCGGCCTCGGCGTCTTCTTCTTCATCGGATCCAAAAAGATCTACGTCATCGTCATCTTCTTCTTCTGGTTCATCGCTAGTAGGGATTTTGCTAGGGATTTCGCCTTTGGGAAGTGGTGAGTAGGATGATATGTGAGCATACCAACGTGCTGCGTGAGGAAATTTGGTGCTGTCTGGAGCTTTTCCTACGTCGGTGAAGACTGAAATGTCGGCTTGAGTTGGCTCATAACTAAGATTTCGAATGAGGATTTTGATATTTTGAGGGAGAACAATCGTATCGTAGATCCAGATATCGTTGAACGATAAATATAGAAAGAGCGTATTTGAATTTAGTTCAGAGTTCGGAAAGTATCAAGTACAATCTACGTATCTAAAAAAAGTATTCCCATCAGAAATAATTGATTATGGTCTCATTCATCTGCGGGGGTCTTACGTCCGCTTTCAGAAACACGGACCAATTGAATTAATCATCATAGGGAACTCGAAAAAAAAACTATATGTATAGGAATAAAGGGAGAAAATACAACTACAACGATTTCTCAATGTCCACCCCTTGATAGGATAAATGATAAGCATAAAAAAATTTTTTGATCATACCCAGAAATATATGATTTATCTTCCAAGTAGGTATTGAGAGCACCAAGCCCGCTGTTTTTGTCAAGATTAGTGAAACCCTTTAAATAGATTTAAACATCGATAACGTTTAGAGGATTAAATTTGATGATACAGGAATAAACGTATGTGAGGTTATCATAAAGAAGTTTCACAACGTATGTTCTAGCATTCCAACTCTCCCTCTCTCTCTTTTTCCCTCTCTCTTTCATACCGACTACATACCATATCGTTAAATGATTACGTTCAAATTTTATATGTAATACGACAGCACAGTAAACCAACAATAAAAAGCAACAAGCAGCAGCAAAAAGCGAAATAGCTTCGATTTACGTTTGGTAAATCCTTTTTTTCCCCCCTCATCTTTGTTGCACAAGCAACGTCAAAAAAGAGTGCCGCAGTTACCAGGTTTTTGTGTGTGACAAACAATTCAAATAAAATATTATTTTCGCAGAAAATAAACTCTCTTAATCAAGTTGTAGTTTTAGCAATGTGTTTGCACCATATCAGTCAGGTTTATTGCTCTTTTTCGTAACTATTTCTTGACTACTGTGTCAATATTGTTGAATGCAACTTTTTTATTCATAACCGAGAGCTTGGATTGTGAAGAACCAATTTTACTACGCTTTTTGCATCAGACTGTTTAATTCGTTTTGATCTTGCGATTACCCTAATCATAGTGTCCTTTTTAATAGAATGGACATATGGAGTGGCATCATTGCCTTCATAGCAATAGCTAAAAAATTCAGCCGGGCGTCAATCTTTCCAAGCAAGGTTCAGGCTAATATCATGTGTCTTTGCCTCAAGGGTTTTTTATCGAAAAATTGTCTCTATTTCTCCAATTGAATATTGTTTGCAAAAAAAGAAAAAGAAAAAGAAAAAAGAAAGGACTAACGGCAATTGAACCCTGCAAATGACAACTTCTTCTTTTTTTATTAAGGAGTAGTTAAATTTTCTTTTTTTAAGAGTTCGTAACAATACAATAAATACATACGTAGATATTAATAATACAATACTTGCCTCCTTCATGTCTGACTATTATTATCAATTTTAATTCACCATCGACATGGATACTCTCGTTTTCGGTACCCATATTAATATTGGAATCACAACAACTATTGTTTACTGCCGTTTGGAGAAACCCCAATTTTTCAACTGTTCAATATGCCTTTTCTGTTGGGCAACTGCTTGAAATGTCAAAAATGTTGTTATCTGATTACAGAACGACATACGGTAATTATTGTAACCTACGCTAGGTCGAATCTCCGAAATCTGCAGTGGATGCGCCACGTGTATTATTATTTTAAGAATGTTATTTTTAACGTGCCATACTAATTTACGAAAAACATGTACATTGTTAATTTATATACATGCGTAATAATAATCCAGTTGCATTTTCAAAATGTACTTGAAACACATGTATTCCCAAAATGAGTGATTTTGATGTACAGCCAAACTGACAATCAACTCGCAGGATCACCAATTAAACGATGGCTTTTTAATAGTAGATCGTTGTCGATAGCAATAACGGGCACAGAAGATCACTTTTGATACTGTGATTAAAGATTTGTTGTTTGACTTTGTAATTCCCACCCCGGTATAATAAACGGGCCTTATTGACTCTAATTTTGCAACCAAACCATTTAAAGCTCTGAATCTACAAGTCACGAGAACATCCATGCGAACGGGGAAGTCGGCTATATCCGGGACGGATTGTATTTCGATGCCTTTATCTCATATGCTTGTGAACCAAGATTTTATGCTGCACAAAAATATCATGCTATATATCGATCACAGCCCACATCCAGTTTTTTGATTGAAAAGACGCTTTTAGTTCTTAATACCGACAGATTTACTATGGGGGAGGCCCTGTTGAGAGTGAGTGTGACAGAAAGTCAAAACGGATGACTTCAAGAAAGATACGTTACATAAACTGGAATCGACCTTGGTAAGACTTAATATGTTTGACACATTATTAATAATATATTTCCCGTAATGTTTGGCATCATAACAAGATGGTATTGGAAGATGGAGAAAAGCCAAGTTTAAGCTGTGTAAGTACCAATCTCTGTGTTCCATTAGCAATGATGAAAAATAGATGCCATAAGCATAAGCCCTTTTTTTACTTCTATTGTGAATTAGAGCTTTCAAAGAGTATTCATTACTTTACAATAATTACCAAATGCGTAGCAATATTCCAGACACTTTTTATCATTATTATTACTGTTCTAGGAATAGTGATGAAAATCCGTTCATTGCTGACAGCATCAAAATGTGAGTAGAATGACAAGGTGTTTTTGATATCTTGGTATTTTAATTTTCTTTTCCTTATGACTGTTACATGTAAAAAGTTAAAGATGATTGTTTCCGACTGTTTGATGTTGATAAATCTCATATTTCTCTAAAAACCATTTTTCTATTAATATTTCACAATTAACCTCTCCCCCCCCCCCCCGATCCTTATAGTGAATTTACAATTGTTCTTGACTCCTTAAACACATTATACAATTCTGTATCCTTAAGAATGATAACAGATTTCTATAAATCTATTAAAACAATACTCCTAGTAAGATGTCTGTTAGTGCCAAGTAGCGCTAATCTACCCTCTTCAGTGGTGAAACAAATCTGCATTCGCGCAAGTAAATGTTTATGCCTCAAACCCTTTGCTCACACCAATTGCAACATGCTCTACACTAATCACGACCGCCGACTCGATATCGCATACGTGTGACTAATCCTTATAGAAGAAAATCCCGTATATAGATAGGAGGACATAGGTGATAACGTTAACCAGACACGAGACGAGACCACCTGCAGCCAACGATTTTTCATAGTCGTCTGACTTTGAACTATGATTTACCGCATGCAAGGTCACAACCCAAAACCAAATGCCAAATATCAAATTAAACATTGCATAAAATGTGCCTTGAAGCGTCCATTCGATATCGATCCTGAGACCCGGTTGATCTACACTCGCGTCAAATGGGTCGGCATCTGGCCAAATTGAATTGATCAATGTGACGTAATATTCTCTTCCTGTTTGTAAAAATTGTGAATATAAATAAATAAAGGTTTACTATTTAGCATGTTGATTGTTGACAATACTGTTACCTAAAAAGATTCCCAGCGAGTTGAATATTGTATATGTTGCAGAATAGTTTTTGGCTGTAATATACACGGCCGAAAGGCGCCACGCGAACTCTACTATACACCAAATAACTAAAGCCGCACGCCTGCTGTCGTAGTCATAGGAATACTGTCAATGAAAAGCATGTGTTAGTTTGCATCGAATTGAGTAAAGTTACGATTGATTACTAATAATACGTCACCGACTGATCGAACATACGTGTCGGGTATCTTTAATAACGAAACACTTACTTTTGTCAGTCGAATCAATATTACTATTATAGCTGCCATGAACATAGCATACACAATAAGGCCCAAATAAATGATTATGAGGCCACATGTGTCAATCTGATCGGAAGCTTGACTATTACTGTCGTCCCTTGCTTCTTCTGTTACTACCGCTTCTGCGGCTGGTGGAGAAGAGCCATTATTATTCTCGCTTGGTTCTACGTCTACGGACACATGACAGAGATTAATTTCTTCGAGTGTGGGTGGAGTGAGTGAGGGCCCGTACTCAGAGGGCGGAGTTGCGGGGCGTGTCTGGGAGGTCGACATGTTAAATAAGGGAAAAAACCCTTGGATATTTTATAAATGTCATATTATACAATGTGAATTGGCAATTTACACTGCTGAAACTGTTCTTTATGGATCTCGTTTTAGTAGGCAGTATGCACGTGTAACTTTCGACATATCGTCCAGTCAAAGTCACCGAAACAAAAGGTTGCGAAAAAAAACCATACGAATACGAACGAACCGTTTTGTGTGCCACAAAGTGAGTGGGTATATTTACGAATAGTAATAGGGGCCTTGCTCTGTTATAGCAAAGCCCGGTTTCCTATGGCCCTGCAAAAATACAGAGTTCTGGTATATAATATTAACGTATATAAATAGCTAATCCATATAAGGCGAGATACATTGCATGTTGTTTGTGGCTGGGCGCATTTAATAGCTCTGAATCCCAATCGGCCGAAACTGGTTTTGGATGGGGGGAAGAATGAACGACTCTTTTTTCGGGCATGCCAGTAAGCTTTGTTGTCAGGCAACGTTAGGCACATTGTTTATCATGATCATAAAATAAACACACGCTTAAATTTTACAACCACGAAATCAGTTATATAATAAATACCCGCAGGTTAATTAGCATTCTTGTGAATCGAGTAACAAGTAGTTAATTTACATCTAATGATCAACAGCTTATTTACTGTTTTGAATGCCATATGTATCTAATTGCATTAGTACGATCATTCGTCCAATATTCTTTATAAGTATTACAAATTTCATCACAGCAAAAAATACAAAAGAATCTGTGCCCTTCTTTGGACAGAACAGAGTTGTGGCGAGAGTCACATTAACTTAGGGGTTAGTGCTACCATGGGTTGTTTCTTGTTTGGCGCTTGCACAAATTACACTTGGACTCGTTTTATTCCCTGCCTCTTTGACCAATATACATTCTTTATTTGCACAGATAGGCAAGACCAACCGTGAAGCAGGCTCTCACATCTCGGTTCTATTGTCGAACATTATAAACTCCTGTTTATCATAGTTTAACCTCAGTAATCCCCAAAAGACAGTTTCATCTGCGTAATGGCCTCACGACGGTCGAGAAGACTTGCACTAATAATTGTTCTCTTGTTAATCGTCAATGTAACTATTGTTGCGCCTGCAGTTCCCGCCGACGTTCCTGTAGTAGGAGCCACACCACCAGTTGGTGGTGGAGGTGGTGGGGCTGGTGGAGGTGGAGGAACTACTGCTGGAGGAGGAGGTGGTGGAGCTGCTGGCGGAAATACAACACCTCCACCAGCAAATACATCACCTGCTGCCGGAAATACAACACCTCCACCAGCAAATACATCACCTGCTGCCGGAAATACAACACCTCCACCAGCAAATACACAACCGACTACCCCAACAACACCGGTGAGTATTTTTACTACAAATACGAGTATCTAATATAATAGGTCGAATTGCATACTGTTTCATCAAGCGTGGTCTTTTATTCATCAATTTATTCTTTATTCTTTATTAGAACCCACAGGTAAAATTTACGCTTTAATATAAGCAAAGGGGAAAAAAAGTGCATTAGAGTGAAAAATGCTGTTAGAAGCTCGTCATCAATCAATTCTCTCGGCTGCTTGACCATTGAACGTCAAAGCGGCATCTCAAGGGATTACGAGTAAAGGAAGATGTAATGTAGTAGGCAATTGAATTGCATAATGTGGATAGCAACAATACTGTCGACTGGATGCAAGCACGCTTTTCTGACTATTTTGGGCATTAATGAACTCTAGAGCATCGATGTCGATAGAATTAACATAGAAAATAATTATATAATGTAATCTGTCTTCCCACTTGGTACTAACTCTTTCCATTTCGTCCATATTTCTCTATTCTTTACCTTCTTCCTCCTTATTAGCCTACACCCACTACACCCCCTCCAAAAGACACTAATACTCCAGCACCCTCTGCGTCGAAACCGCCACCCAAAACACAAGTCATTACATCTGCAGACGCAAGTGGAAATGTCGTTACGTATACAACGACATCTACCACGGATCCTGTTCCTACCGATTCGAATGCGACGGATCCTTCAGGTGTTGGTAACACTAGTAACTCAAAGGGCCAAGATGGAGGTTCTAATACAAGCGTTGTCACTGCAGCTATCGTTGTGGGAACTGTCGTCGTTGCTGCCGCATTTGGTATTTGGATATTTAGAAAATGGAAGCTATCCGTATCCTTTTTCAAAAAAAAAAAAATTGGTGTGATTTTAAATATAATGACATATCGAGACTTTGCTATGTCATTCATGTACGTGACGTCACTATTATTCCTTGACTCTTTTTTTTCTCCCTCAACAGCCAACAAGGAAATTCAAGGAAAAGATCCAACCAGTAGATTTCTCACCTCGATCACACGAGTCCGATACAATGTTCTTGCGAGAGTTAAATGAGCCTTAAAATTTAGAATGTATGATCAGATGATATTAACTTTTATTATCTAGCCTAGAATTTATTGAACCCATCGTAAATAATATTGAGTTTTTTTTTTATATTTAATCGTGTATATCAGTGATTGCACACATAATCAATGGAAAAGTTTTTGTTACTTAGCAAATTTCATGTTACATTTTAAATGTCATTTTTCTCATCTTGTAAAACCATCGGCAATTAGACAATTGGAGAGATCCCTGAGTTTGGACTTTATACAATTGTAGTGTGAATGTTGGGGTGGGGTGGGGGGAGATATGTGAGGAAGAAGTGGTGTGAGGAAGAAGTGGTGTGAGGAAGAAGTGGTGTGAAGCACGATCGTATATTCACCAAAGAGCATTTTGCAAATGTCACAAATTATATTAAATATACATTAGCATTTCCAGAGAGGTTTTGGTTTGTTTTTTTTTTTTAACCTCGATTCAAGTACGCTCGTCAAACTGTCTACTAAATATGTGATACCAATAATAATAAGTCTAATTACAAATGGCAAACCAATTAAATGTTTCACGATCTATTATCATGAATCGGGTACATATTTCCATAAAAGTATATTGAAATGCACTTGTGTTACTTGTGTTATAATGGTCATAACTCGTCATGATAATCGTTTGAAATGAGAGAAATTTTAAATGGTAAAAGTCAAAACCAGTATTCGACGACATTCGTTTCGTTGGTAATCTCTTTGAGTTTTGCTAATCATAATAACAAGTTTTTTAGCCAAAATAAATCTTTTCTTTTTTCTACGATCAATGTTTCAAATATGAGAATGCTTATCAAGTACTCATGGAGAAGGGAGGGTTTGCATCGGTTGGGAATATACAGAGGGTTATATCAATATCATAAGGAAAGCATCTAACAACTCGGATAAATTTCGGTTTGTCCATACTCTAACATTAATTAAACCTCGAAATTTTAATTTAATCAAAGATATTAATTTTAATAACTATTCAACAAATTCAATTACAAGTATAAACTGCTAGCGCTTGAAAAACCTGTAACGCCACTATGGCAATAAACGACGTGTTTAAACTTACTATAGAATTACGTCCGAAGTAAACGTACCTGTGACTTTTCTTGCACTCGAACCTTTAATTTACGCATTACCATTTTAAACTGTTCTTACTGTATTCTCACGCAATACCCGTAACATTTTAACCCTTGTATTTTTTTCGTCGGTCCTTTATTTTAAAAAGTTAGAATGTATCAGCCACTTTATTTAACTTTTTTACCCGCAATCAATGTTTGAAACATCATCACATGCCACCAATCAGGCAATCACGCTTAACGCTTAAAGGATTGAGAAAAATTCACGCAACTTGTGTTCGATGAGGCTCGTTCGTTTAACGAAAAACCAACAGTCACAAACTTAAATTTGTGTTATCAAGTGGCAAATTCATAACGCATGACCTATTCGATCAACTATATGCTCAGTACTACTAATGCAGTATCCATGCGTTGATTACCTGAAACGATATATAGATTTATGGTCGACCAATGTGAATGGAGTAATGACGTGATAAGCAAAAGTCTGAAATAAAAATATTATCAACAATTAGTAACACGTCTCATATTTATGGAAACTTGTACTAAGGGAACCATATACACAAGAAAAAAACCTAATTCAATTCTATGAAAAGCTTTGTTTATTGTGAGACTATATATATATTAATATTAAGAGAGTGTATGATTATGATGGCAAATGATTAAATTAACACCTGTGATGGCTTGCTTATGTTTATGGAAAAGTATTCATGACATACAAACTAGTGCTAATTCATGGAGAAGATATTTGTTGTGGAAATCTTCCTAATATTAATATTAATGGAAGGTTGGATAATCCAATTATATGGGTAAACACATTATTGTATATTGATTAGTATGGCATGCATATGCATTCAATCAATACTAATATCTGGTGATACAAATAAAAGTCAAAAACTTTAGGGCTCTTACAAACATTGCTGTTGCATGACTAGATTCTGCTGAATAGCATATATTACCAAAGAAACATGTGCATATTAATATTGCAACCCTAAAATCTATAACCATGGATAATTTACCGGAACAAGGGAATTTATTCACCCAACAAACACAATTACAAAGGTAAAATGATTAAAAAGAAAAGTTGGCACAACAAAGCACGTAGGTCAAATAAAAGAGAATATCCATAAGCAAAATTGTTCATTTCTATGAGTAAATACTGATTGTTCAATTCATAAAGATACCAATAAAATATTTATATAATTGTCCATACTAAATATTAGACAACTATCTCATTAAACATGAATAGGTACTGTATTTATTTTTTTTTGGAGACATTGCAAAAATTAAGTCGAAATAAAAGGTTACTCAATCACGTGAGACGTTCGCAAGATATACATTTTTAGTAGCTCAGTTGATTAATATTAAGTATAAGTTGCCGTCTGAAGAAAATACGCTGGATATGTCTACTGTCGTGCATTTACGGTAACATGCACCATAAAAGTGTTATTACTATATAGTTTCAACAAAGGTTAATTTTAAGTGTTGGTAACGTTACTAACTCGACAAAAATAATTACTTTCTAATAATACTAATAATAGGCTGAGCATGTGAGTAATCAATCATTGACGTTTGACCATTTTTGTACCAGCCACACCAGCCATCATATGTAAGGCTGATCACTTTGGTTTTTCGGTGCGGCATGCTTCCATCGCCGGTATTATTATTGTTGCAAATAGTAAGAGTAATAATAATGATACATTATGTCAGCAAATAAATTCATCTGCTGAAACAATCAGACTACGAGTTATCTCTGCTCTTGCCATTTTGGTCAGTTCGCATAAAAGAACGTTCTTTTTTATTGTACAATAGCATTTGTTGTCGGAATATCTTACATATTTGGCAAATTTCCATCACTGATTGGCCTGAGCCACTAGCAAAGTGGCATGATAATGTAATGTTAATACAAGCGTACGTATCACTAAAATAGAATCCAATTAGTGACAATACAGTAAGTAGTTCGTTCTATGCAAATGTAGACACGATTGAGAGCATCTTTCCTTTGCTCGAGCTTGCCTTGTGGCATTGACTGGTTTGGATACGGGAGGGGGGATATGCCCCAATTAATACTGCTCGTTTTGCCAAATAGAGTCGTGAGTGTGGCTAATACTAATGTGATGATTATCATTAATAGTATGTGTGACAGACTTGCACAAACAAAGCAGACAAGACAGACGTAAGTGGGCATGTATACACCAGCGTATATCATCGATCATTAACAATCTTGTTTGAGACTTGTGTCGGTTTTCGGCGGTCTCATTACAAATAAGCTCCATCACTACTCGTAAAAGTGGGCGAGTTCCCATTCATTGATAATGAAACAGTGAAACTGCGATTAACATTAAACAACACCGCAAGTGATCGGCCGTGAAAAATCTATTCGGGAACTCATTGTCTGTCATATGTAATTTTCTATTGTACGGTATGGCCAGTATGCTGTTTTCTACTGTACTCCGAACAGCTTTGTATTTAATTGTTACTCCCCGAAATCGTTTTCCGCCCTAAAGTGGAAGTAATACATCATGTATGATACAATAAGGCAATGTATCGACCGAACTGTGATGGCCAAATAAAAAAATACCCTCGATGACCAACCCCAACAAGTCCTGCTGAGCCTTTCCTTCTTTTTGCTAGAGAGTGAGGGGGAAAAAAGAAATATATAGTGGAAGAAATTGCGGCGCGATTTCTTTTACTATCGATCACCGTCTTTGAATTTTATTGTATCTATATAATTTGACGACAAAGTAAATAATGTCCGGGCGTATAGTTGTGGCCACAATAGGCATTGCATACTTAGTACGTATTCAAGAGCAGTTGCATTTGCATTTGCATTTGTAGGGGAGAGAGGGGAGAGGGGGGAGAGGAGGGAGAGAGGGGAGAGAGGAGATAGAGAGACACTACCCCACGGCATACATGTATACACACGTCTTGTTTGTTTGTTTGTTTACATTACCAGTCTGTCTGACCAAATCTCTCTCTATTTACTACATACAGCTCTATTGTATATTTGTTGCGATAGTAACTTTCCTAGGGAAAAATGGTAACGTACCATTTGCACTGAAAAGAGACCTCGTCTGCTATTAGACAACTACTCGCAACCTTTGATTTCTCACAACCTTTTCTTTTCTTCTCTCTCTCTAGTCGCGACCCTTCACTTAAATTCATCATATTACAAGCTCGCATTTGCTGCCCTATATGCTGTTCTTTCACCCTTTGGTCTATCGGGCATACTAGGAGCAATACACGTAAGAAACTGACTTTATGAATAGCTACCCACTCGTCGCTGGTTATTTCGCAAGCTCATTTATATCTCCCGATCACAATTGTTTAGCGAAGGAAAAATCTGATAAAAGGCTTTCTATGGCAGTATTGGGTGGGCACTTTATTAATAAGTGGTGCCAACGCCGCAAACGTCATATATACTCACGCAAAGGGAAGAGACATATTTCGAGAATGTGGGAGCGAGAGGTTGTTTGATCCTAGCGCAGTACCCGACTGCAATGAATTTGTACGCACTGTCCGAAAGAACGCATTCATTGCAGCGATAGCTCAAGGATCAGCGATGATATTAATAGGGTTGTTATTGTTGATAGTTGGAGGACGGGAGTTTAATGATATCAAAATTGACGAAGAGACAAGTAATCTACTGGACAAGGGTCTGTTTGAAAATAAAGATAAACCAGAACCGTTTGGTCGAATCGTTTCACCCGTCAATCCACCCGAGACGGCATATACCACACCGACCGTTCCTTTCAGAACGCCAGCTAATAAAAGTTCGCCTTATGGTGCTTATGGGCTCGACGACCGTAAAGCAAGTTTGGCCAGCACAGCCTATGGTCTCGAGCACAAGCCAAGCATAGCCAGCTCTACCTCATCGTATGGTCAGAATGCGTATGGAAGACGACGACCAACAATGAACGGTGGTAGAGACATGTACTTGACGCCCAATCCAATGAATGGAGGAGCACAGCCAGCACCTGCGAGATCGCAAGGATTATACAGACAACCAACAAGCAGTAGCACATATTCGGATCGTACACTACATTCTCCACCATTACCTGATATACCGTACGAACGAATCCCTACACAAACAACACGTCCTCCGTATATCAAACCACCGGAAAGATCTTATGCGAATGATGGACCTAGTAACTCGGCATTACCATATCTAACATATGGGGCGCAGGGTGGACAACAACCTGCAGATGACTATGATAATTACTGGCAACCAGCAGCAGCAAAGACATTGGCTAGTAATGTTAATAGAATGAACATGTATTAAGATCAAAATGTCGTTTGATATATTTATGGGGCGATATACTACTTTGTACAGTAAACCCTTTCGTCCTGTAATGCAAAAACATTTCTCACAGATTTGTAAATCGAAATTCCCCTTCTTTTCCTCTCGCCCGGACTCTTTCCTCTCCTTTATTCATTCTGTGATGTAATATTTCCAAAGCATGACATTGCAAAAAAGAACGCATAATTTATTAAACAAGGTAGTAATTAATTGACACACGTGCTGAATATATACTGTATGTGAGTGGATGGGGTGGAAGAGGCAGTGCGGCGGGAAAAGAAGGACGAGGGTAACGCTTAAAGGTAACGCTTGCGATGATGTCGGGATTAACGCCTTCTCATTTGCGGCGCGCAGACTACTAATTGCAAATTCCATATACAACGTAAATTAAGCGCTACATTAATTCACCAAAAACAATTAATTTTAGATTTGATTTAGCCCCATTAATAAAAAAAAAAGTCATTTAATTTACTGATTAAGAATAAGGTTCCACTCGACACACACCCCGAAACTATTTGAAACAAAGCATCAATCCATTTTTCGATTTGTCATGTTTCAACACCCTGGGCATTTAAGGCACAAGGTTGAACTGTCACACTCATATCTCCTTGCATCACGCAAAAGCGTATTTTGCCCGTTGTACTAGTCGCCCAAATACAGGCATAATCGTCATTTGCTAAATATATTAATAAAGCTTTTCAAAACGTCATTTCACGATATAATAAGTTCCCTCCTTCCAGACCCTCAAGGAATTCCAGTCATTTACTAACAAAGAATCGCTGGACGATTTAGCCTCTCCTCCTTCCCCTCCACCAACCCTCGCGCAAATACACTTCCAAAGTCTCTTAAATTTTCCCATATACACACCACCTATTACTCGACAAAATCTACAATAACCACCACATACGATTATTTATCAACATGACAACCCAACAAACGGACAACCCTGAAACTGCCGTGAGCATTCCAGAACCAGCAGCGACAACACAGAACAGAAACAGTACTGCAAGCCGGCTTGGAAATGCACCGCCATACGGTTCCAAATTCGACATGTATTTCGACGACGAGGCTCCAGCTTATACTATCATAGATACTACCGTTGAGAGACGACGAGCTATCAAGTCTGAGAGAAGAACTTGTGGAGGTTGCATGCCCGAACGCAATGCCGTGGTCGCTGTATTTGCACTATACTTTTTCTTGGGAGTAGTATACACCGCCATAGCTCTTGCTGGTCTGGTGTTTAGCGGATCAACATACGACAAGACAACGTCCTTTATCGACATTATCTTGTCTGCTGCGATGACTACTGCTGGAATATGCGGAATGAGATTTGTCTACGGAGTGAGTATAACATATACATATTATAAATTCAACGATGAATATCTTGTAATGTTTTGGTAAAACGCTCTGTACTAATATTTTTTTTATTCGAATGTAAAGGAAAATGCCAAGCGAATGCGTAGATTGTCCATCGCTTTATGGTTCATCACTCTTGCTAAGCTAACATACAGCTCGATTGATTTCGCTCACTCTGTCATGCACAAGCAGGACAGTATCAACAGCTGCAACGATGCTGTACGAGATTATGCTGAAGAGCATGGCGAACTTGTAGATGCAGACTGCGATGGGGCAGTTAGAGACCAACTAATCCGTGATGGGTTGAATCTCTTCTTATTTGAGACATTGCAAGTGTACTTTGCGTTTATCGTATTCAGGTACTCTAGACGAATGGGTAAAACGGCTCTTCCGCTGAGCGATAACGGAAACGTCAACAGTCCGCCATCATATACCGTATATGCAGCACGTGTTCCAACTTCAAGTGACTGGATTCCACCACCGGTATATACCGGGAATCCTAACAACATTCCTTTAGAAAAAGAGGGTATTACTATTACGGAAACGAGAACGGAAACGAGGACGGAAGCTCCTACGGAAACAAGGACGGAAACAGGGACAGAAGCTCCTACGGAAGCAAGAACGGAAACGAGGGAGGGAGAAGAAGAGAACGAGAATAAATAGTGTTTATATTTTTACTTGTTTTTTTTTGTCCGATTTATTTTGATCTGAATTTGTATCATTTTGTATAATTTGTATCGACTAGATACGTGGTAATAAAGAAAGAGAAGCCTTATGCTTCCAAATCGATAGAAGTCGAGATTGGTTCTTGTTCTTGTTTAGCAAGTTTTTGCGATTCCTTTTTTGTTTTGTTTACCAGATTGAAATATTTCGCTGGGGTCATCGGGTACTTCAACATTGGTGTTTTCGTCGATACATATGGACAGAGCTGGGGCGAATTATGAAAAAATGTGTGTCAGTGACTGTAAAGTTCTATGAGCCATCATGTGACTGCATAGAGACAGAATGATCATAAAGCATTCATACTACTCACTTGAAACTCGTCCAATCCACGTGGAACTACATAAGTTCGCACTCTGCTTTTGTCAATTATGTAGCCCCCTACAGTCGTTCAAGCATGCGTAAGAAATCGCTCTTTATGAACACGGCAGCTCACTACGTACCGTACTTGGTATGTCTTCCCATAGCACCCGTCCCGGTGCCTATTTCAAAAAAAAAAGAAAAGATTATTAATTCTCTTCGCTTCACGGATACAGTTTTTTATCCTTGCCTTTGTAATAATTGTGTCCACGCTTAGCATTCATTGGATATCTCCTAGCTCCACGATAAAGTGCCTTTATGACATCAAACATTTTTGAATATAACAGGGGTAGTGTGCGTGTGTGTGGAGTGTGTAAAAAAAGACTACTTTGTTACTTTGTTCCAAGCCACTTTGATCACTCGTTTTCGGAAATGAAATCACGGAATTATACACAAATTCGGAACAGAAAGTGCCACAGTTTAACTTTTTTTTTCCTACTCGAGAAATTAAATCATATTAGCATTTAGCTGAGGTAATCGTAATGGTAAGGGTGAATAGCTTTAATATTCATTAGTATGGTCTGTAACTCGATGGGTTATCACTCCGCATAGCCACGAGATTATTAGTCATACAATAACACTGAAATACCAATAATAATAAACTTGGACAACGTAAACGCCTGTTAATTTGTGTTAATGCTTTATTTCTCTTAACCTATTAAACAAACGATCGTTTGTCTAACCACATAAAGTATGTAATTTCCAAACTAGTGGATATATATATCGATATATGTCAGGGCCAAATGACATCGCATCGTCATATGCCCAATTTTAGTATCAGTTCACCATTCAGATGCGTACAGATTTATTTAGCGACTCTTTTACGGTAAAAAAAAGAGCTGACGACTTGGTCAAGGACAGACACCCTTTGACAATTTTTAAATACCGGAATCAATTAGGTTTTATTGTTTAATTAATTGCATTACGAAAATACCACCTTAATCTTAAGTCCCGTGGAACAATTAGATAACTTTAACACAATGAGACGCAAAGGTTTTTGTTTTGACATTGTGTTACGCCAGGGCTAAGTTTCAAATTAACGAATAAGATTACTATTTGCGTAATATTTGCTTTACCATCGCACACTGGGGATGTAACAGCGTGTTATGATGTACCGAACAAAGTTTCTTTGGAAATTTCCATTGACAAATGCCTAACAACATTGAAAACGGAAATTAATTCAGTGTAATAGTAATGCTAATTTGATGTTTTCGTGATTGATCCATCTGAGGTTAACTTATTTATTATAGGTTTCCAAGTAGTCTGTCACACTTACGGTATAAATGACAAAATTGTGGCAAACTAGAGAAAACACTAGGGAAGAAAACAGAAATTTTATAACCAATACAATTAGTTTACGAGAAAGCTTGACAGAAACATGTGGAGAGCATTCAAACAAAACTGCACTATTTAGAAACGGGCATGTTGCAACAAATAACATCCTAACAAATAACATCCTAACAAATAACATCCCAACAAATAACATTACACAGTATTTCGGGTGCAGAACTGTTTATGTTATTAGGATGTCCAACGTTACTGTACAATGTGCTATTTATATTTGAGTAAAATATATGGATTACCCAGCGTTCAACGGGAATAATGTCCATTGTTTCGTAGGCCAGCCCACTGAAAAGAAGGAAATGGCAACAACCAAGAACGCGCAATCTATTCCAATTAGCCCAACAAAAGGAATTAGACTGCTCAACAAATACCTAAAAGCATACAAAGCTCAACCGGTGATTCCTCCCGGTTTAAATTTTTGGAAAAAAACTATTACTATCACAATGTCAAACACTCACCGATTATCAAAGGCGCGAATTGTGGATCTAATAAAAAACACGAGAATATACTGTCAGCAAAAGTCCATACGTTGGAGACACGCATCACAAGACCATTCTTTATCTATTACTAAATAAAGCTCTTGTTTAGTGCATATGTTTGCACCGTAATGAATCACGAACAAGAAACGTTCGACAAGTTTCCGAAACAGGCAAATCTTATATCCAATATTTTTATATGCAGGCAAAGCCGATTATAAATTAAGACTCGACGCACCAATTGACTTACTTACCATGCATATTTAGCCAAACCAAACACGTGAATATGTAGTTGCTCTCTTCTTAAATTTTGTTCTCACTACATTTAGTCATTCATATTGTTAGAGTAATAGTAATAGTTGTCTAATCGTTATTTTATATTCTAATAATTCGACAACTTAACATTAGACAGTAGTAAAAAACTGTTTAGATAAACAGAAATAGATAGTAAAGTTGCACAAACCCAATTATTTGTTTTGACGTTGATATGAATATCATAAGACAACAGCAATTGTAATAATAATTAAACTTAAGTATATTTGTTAAAGAGCTATACCAGATTTAAAGTTAGGTTGCTTTTTAATCTTTAAGGTGTGTTTCTTCTCAAGATATTTTTGGTTCAATGCCATGACTCTAATTTTCCAATGGATAAACATACTATGAAAGTTTGGTGTCATACAGGAGAAGATAGCTATGGACAAACTGCAATTTTACTATAGAAATCGCGTGTTATTGTTATTATTATGGCTTTCCATTTTGATAAATCGAATAAATTTGCAGTACTTTGCAGTACTGATTTCTATGGTAAACGAATTTTTTAATGAAAATCTGTTATTATCCTTAATCAAAGATTTAATATTCTCGTATAAAGATTTTCGCTCAATCTCTGCAATGTCGACAACTGCTCGCACGCGCTTTTGTTGATTGTCATAGCGCAAATTCCATTGCTCGATAAGATTTTTATTTACTTCTCGTTACTCTTCATACAAATTGCGAATAATAATCATTTCATCATATTCCTTCTGTAATTGCTCAGCACTCGTGGTAGTTTATTGGTGAGACCAGCTACCGATTGCGATTTCTGTTGACTTTCCCGTTGACTGTATTCCAACAGTCTTCTAACTCTCTCAAGCTCTGCGAGTGCGTCAGAGTGACTAATAGGAATGGGTGCATTGTCCTCATCAGCACTGAATCGGAGTCTTTTATTGTCTTGTCCGGAACTTGTTAAATGTTGGAAAAGTTGATCAGTAACAATAATCTGGTTATAATGTCTTTCACAAAGCGAATAAGAATCTAAAGAAGAATGAAGGTTAGAAAGTTCAGGAAAATAATTATGATAGAATGCGAGTCGTTTGGCCACGTCCTGAGTATTAGCATGTCGCCATCTTTGCTTCTTTGTCTCGCATCCGCTTCACTGTACTTCTCAACCAGGTCTGCAAAAAGACATGGGAGGTTTTTGCGCTTGTTCTCTGTTTAATAGACAATACGAAAAAAAAAATTTTAAAATTGAAACATAGTCAGAGATAATATTTTGTCATCGTAGTAGATATTGACTTTGAAGAGCTCATTTACTTTTTTAAAGCTAATTAACCGAAGTGGATTATTGTGGATTATTGAAAGTAGACATCTTTTACCGTATACTGGTATGGTTTTGAGCGGTGAACAAATATTGTGAAAATTCACAAAAAATGCGTAAGTAAAAGACGCAAACATGTTGTAGTAGAGCCAATCAAATTTCAAGAATTCGTCCGAAATCATTCTAGAATCGATTTCCTGACTGCAATCAGAACTGGCGCTAGTATTACAGTTCACCACTTCTTTTCCTGGACTGCTACGGTCATGTGTTCGAATGGGACTCAATGTGTAATGTTTTGTGGTCACTTGGGATTATAGGAATGAGGCGACAAAGGAGTCTCGGACTAACCGTGTAATATGGGTTTAGAGTTCGATGGGATTATTGTTGAATTTGGATGGCATGTCGAGATTTTATTCATAATGATTTTAGGAATATTTCGTTTGGAAATAATTAGTAGGGAAATGTCTACATAAAATGGAGGTTGGGACAAAACGCTCATGCAGGCTAATTTGACAACAAAAAGTTTATTATTATCGTTATGTTTTCATCCTAACCCTAACTTTGACGAAAAAATTGAATTGCCGTCACTCGAAACTTATTGTTTACCGTAATGGGTAGGTAAGTCGGACAAAAATTTTTCCAAAAAGTCATTGTTTGTTAGATCGTGGTGTTTCGATCAAACTTTACAAATAGGAATATTCGATGTGCCATGAACATTTTTGCTATACATTTCCCATTGCAAATACTATGCTTTTATTATTATATGTTTAAGCTTTCTAGTACCATAAAATCAGTACCAATTCTATTTTACATCGACTTGCCTTTGACATACATACCGGTCATGGTTAAATTCTTATTCAAAAATTTTGAGTCACTAAGTATAAGTGATAGGATAATAGACGACGACGTTAGTATTGCAAAATGATGTTATTTCAATATCAACATGTAAACAGTTACCTGCAACTGAATCATAACTGTTCCTCGGTTTAGGCAAATCACCAGTAGGTAAGAGCTTACTAGAATATTTATTCTCCTTCTCAAGACGTGATAATGGTTTTACACCATTATAATAAACGGAATCCCACGTGTTGTCCTTGTCCATATTAATAAGGTGGTAAATATCATTATCAAGTGTTTTTGCATCTGGACGCTTATCAGGATCAGCATCACAACACCGCTCGGCAAGTTTCTTGTATTCCTCTGGTGCGGAATC